CTGAAATACAACAGTAACTGACTTAAAAATAACTGTAATATATTTGATTTGTTGTTTCTTGATAATAGTAAAATCTAATATATTTAACAGTTTCAAATCAGTCTGTATACAATCGGATACAACGTAAAATCAAGGGGAGGCATCCGTCTTTGAAAATAGGGTGGCTATGATTTTAAAAAAAATACAGTACTACGATATAGAGTCAAATAATAATCGAATATAAATTATGGTACAGTATATCGTTTTCTTTGTGATATTACAAATCCTCGCAATACCGTTATACCAGAATAATATTAGCGTACCACATTTAAAAATAAATTGGTATTAAAATCATAAAAATTATACTGATTCATACTTATATATAATAAATGTTATCAAATTATCTATGAAAACTATTGTCACTCTAGCATATATATGTTTTCTCGTGGTGGTTGTCGGTGTAGCTTTCCTCTGGAAAAACTCATTCCCTATTCCACCCCCGCCCCACGCCCCGCGCCTACGACAGCACCCGTTCATGAGCGGGACAGGTAATGTGCTGCTATCTCTCTTTGAGTCTTGTGTTTCTGATCCGATGCCATATTTATAGCCACGTCTTAATATATGTATTTACGTTTGCAAAAATAAAATGCAAATACGTTAAAAGAATCTTACATAAGTCCGCAAAGAGGGAGAAGGCTAGTAACAATAAAAGCATTTTATTTTTAGAATTTTAGAATCCGTCCTTTAGGTATATATAAAAACAGCCCACAACCGTAAATAGTTGAGTAGATATCACAATAATTCAATAAATTACAAATAGAACTTACTTCCATCGCGGAACATTATCTTTGTTAAATTGAATCTGATAAAAAAATATATCTTTGTCTTAAAAGTTTCGCAACGTAGTAAGTACTATGAATAAGGTTCTGGGCGGAGCGGCTTGTGATTGATGCCCTTTGTTTAAACAAGTCTCGTCGCGCCGCCGCCGCCGCGCGGTAACGAGACCTACTTACCCGTCCTAAACAACCTTTTACTTACTATTTTTGAAACTTTTAGAGTACCTTAGAAGTCACTAATGAGGTATAATAAAATATGATATTTGACTATAAATAGACAATTATAGTTTTTTTACATTTGAGACTGGATTATCTTAATTCTGAATGAATTAGTTCCTTACGCTTTTAACTTTTTCGATCATAAAAAGGGCAAAGTTAGAAAAAATAATGAATAACCTTTATTCCTTTTGTAACAGCCTCCTTTTAATATAAAACCGATTTCAAAAAGGATATAGTTTTCAACTCGACTGTATTTTTTTAAACCATTTAATGAGTTAACTTAATTAGTCAATAAGCTGAACTTAAAGGCTCTAAACATTAGTAACTTATAAAAATATCAAAGGATAAATGGGAATATTACGAGATTTTTGAGTGCCATGAAAGGACACGGGTAGTGTGGGGGGTTGCGGGATGGCGGGACGGGGGAAACGAGCTTTCGTTACAAAATCAAATATCAAATATTGATATTCGCTCCTCGATTTTGTATTCAGTTTGAGGTGCGAGTTACTGTTTGCAGTTCTACTTGGCGAAACGTTTCACATTTCATCCATCATCGATGGCTGCCGTGGTTTATGGAATATGGAATGAAAAATCGTTTTACTAATACAAATATCTATCTCCTTTTTGACTTTGTAGTATTAAGAAAAATAATCATTCTAATTTAGTTACTTTAGCTTTAAGTTTTAAAGTCTGATTGCAGATAAAGCTTTCAATAATTAATTTAATCTGAGTAATGTGTTCTGAGAACTTAAAGTTTTAAAAGAAAAGATATAATGAAGTTGTATGAACTCATATTTCAAGAGAGTTATTCGGACATCTCATATTTTGCGACGTCGCTCATAATTCATTTACTCTTTTGCGTAAAAAGCTATTTTATCTTTAAAAATAATTTCTTAAAAAAGATAAGTGCGAAACGTGGAGTGGCTTTATTTTAAGATTAAGCCCAGGGAAATATTGTTTATGATATTAAGGGATACTATTACAAAAAAATTAAGAAGAGAACATTGTAGTGGCTGACATAAAACATAATTTGATATAAACAAAGGAAGAAAAAAGCAAAAGTAGAAATAATTCACGTTCACGTCCGGTGGCTGGCCAACAACGCGGAAGGCGGGAAGACGGCGCCCGTTGATTGGTGCAAATTGAATTTGGAATCAAGGAGCGCGGGAACGAGATGACGAGTGCGGGGTGAGAGAGGGGCGCAGGGCGCGGAGCGGGCGGAGAGGTATTGTCGTGTTGGCGATCGCTCGCTGATTGCTCGTTTGTGGTACGAAGGAAACTATGGATACACCTTACTATAATTTTGATATATCGTAATTAACATTTGAATGTTAATGTCAGATACATAATCATCGAAGAATAAGATTATGACGAAAAATAATTAAGATAATAAGATAAAAAAAATTGCAATACTGTTATTAACCACCATTGAAATTTAAAAATTAAAAAATAAAAAGATACGTATAATATCCCATTTTAGTAAATTATAATTATGACAACCTTTACAAGATTTTCTAAAGTACCGATTTTCCTATTATATAAAGAGGTCTATGCTATCCTTACGTGGTGTTACCAGTACCCGGGTGATTGTGCCCCCGGCGCGTTTGCCGAGGTGTAGCAACACCGCATTGTTCCGTTCAACCAACAATTTACGCAGTTTGCCCTCTGCCGCTGCCTGCTTAGTTTACGAATCACGGCCACTTTGCCGGAATACAGACAGATTGAGCGGTGCGATACTATTGACTTTTTGATGCTTAAATCAATTTCAGGACTTTATTTAAATCAAATATACGTTTAAAGATGTAACCCTATGTAAATGTAATGACCTATGGAAATTAACAAGGCAGTAGATACAAGTTTACGATATTATTAAACTATCTTAAAACAAATAGCCACAGCCAACAGCAGCTAGTTTTTCTAATTATCAACGAGAGGGAATACAAGCCGTTATAAAATATAATCTTTTTCAGACATCTTAAAATGTTCTAATAGACATACATCCCCTGTGCCGTCGATTAAAAGCAGGCAACGCATCTGCCAATTGCAGACGTCTATAGACAACGAGCACTTCGCTATTACAGCGAATTCCAGTGGCCGCTAGCTCATTTTCCACTCTATATAAAGACTTGTTCAAAATGTAAATTTAAAAAATTCCAGTCATTGATGTTATTCGTTTTAATAGAACTACTACAAGAACATTTAATTCTAAAATTAAATCACTACTACCGCCACCTATTATAAACTATCATGAATATAACATGAGGTTGCGTCGTATAGATGGCGCTGGCGCATATTTATAGCCACTTTTATTGTTACGACCACTTTGGCCGCGTTCCGCAGGCTTTTATCTAAATTAGTCTCATTTCATTGTTGGTGGGATGTCTAACATATTCGTTGGGATTACATTTTCTGTCGTAATTTGCTTAATGTATCATAAAGATTTTCAGACGATTTGTTTCGGGCTGAGAGAGCAGCGATTTGTTGATGCGGGATAAAATTATGATGATGTTTATTCATTATGTCATATAAATTCACAAATCACCAAACTTCTTGAGTAGATATACCAATTGCAGTTTACGAAATAATATATGGATTGGAAACGAACAAACTATTAGATATTGTAAAAAGTTGTAAATATTTCTACTAGATTTGAAGTCTCGAAATATCTTGTTAAGCCTGGCAATAACATAACCTACACATAACAACATGTTCTCTATATAAATATGAGATATCGACGGTTTTTAATTAAAAATTAGAAAAAAGAAAGTGAGAAGAAAAGTCAAAAATAATTAACAAATAATTAGTAGTGAAATTTAAAAAAAATTTACTCAGCAAAAAATTTTACATAATTATAAAGCTGAAAACGCTTCGATAAAATCCCAACATTTAAAAACAACTATACTTCGGATAAATTAAGTTTTAATCATTGAACAAAATACGTAATGTACTAATAGGTTCAAATTTCCACTAAAAGCCCTCGAACTATATCGGGATAGTTAATTTAGTGCGCGACCGATTCCACTCAGCTGTAACTGCGGTATATGTTAGCGGAATGGCTTTTTTATGTAAACGAGCTCTTTATACGTATGTTGCCATTGAATACAACAAGATTTCTTTGTGAATGGTGAGGGTGGGAACATACATCTACAGAGCTGAACTTCGCAATAACATTTATTTATTTATAATTTCGACGCTAATGACGTGTAAAAATTCTTAACATTTTATACCTTCATCACGTTTGTTTCGTGGCGAAATCATAGTTAAATCTACTGACTATTAAACTGAAACTAAAAGAAGCAAAATTTCCTTCTTGTCGTTATTTTTCACTCTTCACAGTAACCGTTCTTCCGTCTAATTTCGAATTAACCCTTATTGTGACAAGATATCTTTTTTGAAGAAAAGCTGAAAAAACGTCTAGAAATGTCATGTGTTTAATAAAACTAAGTTAGAAATTATTTTATAGTGATCGTATATTTTTATATAGTTCTATGTATGGTATACTATACAAAATGAACATAAGAGTTAAGATTACCGTAGGTACATAACAAGTGGAAAGTAAATCGATGTAGATATTAAAACCATTTAAAATTCCACTTAATTATTCTAGAACCCAAGAGAAACTTGTTAAAAAATTTAGAAGAACAACTCTTATAGTATCAAATTTAAATTTAATCACAACAATGATTTCTGATTTTTCGTCTCAACGTTTCCACGAAATTTGATTGTTTACCGGACCCTTATAAAAGCATATCAATATGTTTACCGATGTCACGTTAATTGATTTAAAAACAAAAATCATTTACAAAATAAAATTTTATAAATATTTTAAAACAATCATTTTTGACTAAGAAATTCATATATTCCATATTTCCAAGACAATTTAAAGGTTAAGAATCATTTACGTATATAAATAGATCCGTCTCATATTTGAATTTATAAAAAAAAGAAAGATATGAAAATACTCACAAATGAAGCATTTCTCTTCTCATCCATTTAATGTACCGTGGTCGATGTTCAAATACCATATATAATGTAACCTCAAAAAGTTCAAAAAACCGACATCATTGTTATTGCTCACCGGGGACACTATCAAGTATTTATTTCACAACAATTGAATTTCCTTAAACGGACCTATAAACTTTTTTTGATAGGAACAAATAATATTAATTTACTTTTAACAAATTAATCACAATTAATATTATTTAACTAGACACGCAAAATCTGTATCCTATCTATAATTGACAAACATACTATTTTGGAATACCTACAATTTTTATCGAAATATTAACTACTAATTATTTCATTTAAACATTGAATCAATTCTAAAATTGTTTTAAAATGCTTTTTAATAATTTAACAGCGACATAAACTTGTTCAAACTGCAGTGGGGGTAATTTTAAAGTATAAAGTTAATCAATTAATTAACTCAATTTGTTTTTTTATTTAAACTTTATTAGAGGATCTTTTAGTATAAAGTTACAAGTTTATAACTTATTATGCGTCGGTGATGTGTCCATTAGTGTACATTTATTTATTATCAATATATTATTTTGTATAATTAGATTATTTTTGTTACGCATTTTAAAAGTAACTTATTATTAAAATTAAAATTATATTCACAGCCTCGGTGGCGCAGTAGGCAGCGCGTAAGTCTCATAATCTTAAGGTCGTGAGTTCGATCCTCACCCGGGGCATATCTTTTTTTCTTTTTTGTTTTCTTTTTTTTATCTACCATCACTATGTGGTCTCCAAAAGTTCCAACTTATTAAATTATAACCCACTATGTGTATATCTATGCCAAATTTCAGTGAGATCCATACAGCCCTTCTGGTGATACCTTGAAACATTCGCATCTATAATAATATTAAGATTGTTACAACTGACTCATAATATGGCTGCAGAAAAACTGTGTAACAGATAAAAACGTCCAATTGAATAAAATTCTAAAAATATTTTTTAATTTAAAGTAAAAAAAGAAAACAAAACATCTTTGTTTTGTTTTCTTTGAATTGGTAACACTAAACTCTGCAGTCTTCTTCAAAGAGTATATAAAATAAAATGGTCTTCTTCTCTTTTCAGTTTGAAGTTGACAGTTGATTGACATTTATTATTTGATATTGATAACGTATCTACGATATAAACATTGGACTGTAAATAGTATTTAAAATGGTATCAAACATTTCAAGACCTCACATTTTAGCCATTTACAAGTCTTTACTAAGAGAATCTCAAAAATTCAGTAATTATAACTTTAGGTATGTATTGCACAACTAAGGAAAATTATATAACCTAAAATTATTTTCCGAGTAAAATGTTATTTTATGTCTTTATCTGCATTATGTTAGTCCTTCCGTTCTTCCTATTTTTCAGATTATACGCACTGCGAAGAGTAAGAGATGCTTTCAAAGAGCACAAATCACTTCAAGATCATAAGTTAATAAAGAAAGAATATGACTTTGCAAAGGATAATTTGGAGATCATCAAACGCCAGGTACAAGTTGATTTTTATTGCATTTGCAATGTTTCGTTACTTCAAATATGTATAACAGTAATGGCAATTTCGAACAAAGAAAGGCAGACTAATGTTTGAGAGTTTGTATTTTGCACAAAGTTAGTAGAATTCAATATTTGGATGTATTTAGGCATCGGAATACTTATTGTTACCTGTTAACTCATAGTTGCACTTGATGTGAGATTATTTCCGATTGTTGTATAATTTATTCTATTGTCTATGACCATAAATATAATTATACACTAACAAATGACTATTAAGAGTTTGAATGATAAAATTTAACCTTTCCAATGTGTTACTTCAGGTTGTTATTGGAGAAATGTATAGGACAGATAAGCTTGTCATTGAAAATCAACAGTAGAGAAAACAGCGAACATGGAATGGAAAATAATTAATCATCTTAAGGAGCGTCACACTAGAAATTGAAATACAAGTACAATTTTATATATATGAAGCAATGCAAATATTTAATTTCTGCTGTATTAAAGTTACATTTTAAACTAGTATTGTAAGTAAATATGAGTGATGTATGTTAAAGGATTAGATTTTTGGTCTAAATGAAAAAAAAATTGTTAATAAATAATAGCAAATAGTTGTTTAAGCATTATGGGTTTTTTTATTTACTACCAATACCCTACATATTTTTCCTTGTTATGTTTTTAGTGTTGCCAGTCTGTTTTTGATTTTAGAAACAGTTTTAGTTCTGATGCGATAGTTGTAAATAATTTTTAAAGTTTGTTGGCAATTTCAAAAGTGCATTTGTTAATGTTAATGTAAAGACAACTTCGGTTTTATGCATAAATATTATACCTGTAACATTCAAGTAATTACAATAAATATAATTCCAAATGTTTTATTCTTTTCAATTTATAAAAAAAGAAACTAATACAATAATACTATGATTTTATACAAGAGCATATCTTAATATTCCAGTTTTATATTAAAACTAGCGGACCCGACAGACGTTGTCCTGTCTACACGTCTTTAATTTGAATAAATTAATATGAAGTTAATATTTGATGAAAATTGTGAATCTAAACCATTCCCAGATCCCCTTGAACACACACAAAAAATTTCATCAAAATCGGTCCAGTCGTTTGAGAGAAGTTCAGTGACATACACACTCACAGAAGAATTATATATATAAAGATGTCAATCAGTACAATTGACCCTTGTTACATTTTGTTACTAAAATCCTGCGCAGTATCATGTGGTCTCTAGTTAGACAAGTGACCATAAAGTAAACATCGTACTTGTCTATGTACTCTTAGTTATGGGTTTACACTGCTGTTTGTTGTCTTTCTCACTTTATTTGAAAAAACAAAATTAACACTATTTTTCTGTAGGTTTTTGATAGTAAACCCCCAGTGTAAGAATTTATATTTCTTTTTCCTGGTAATTATTATATTTTTTTATAGTAATATCCCTAAAACTTTATATATTTAAGTGAACAAGTCATTGAAAGGTTTTGTTCAAGTGTATTACATATACCTACATATGTAAATTACTATACATATATAAACACCTACTAATAGTTAAGAAGTAACAGAACTGCTATCTTCAAGTGATACAACATTCTTTTCTATTTCAGAGGATTTCTTTCTATTGAAACGTTTTTTCTTTTCTTCCTTCATATGATGTTTCTTGTGGGTTTTATTGATTTTCTTCTTTTTATGAGTTCGCTTTTTCTTCTTCGACTTTTCAATTTCACCTGAACTGACGACTATTGTATGGACTTGAGGTTTCACCCTATTTTCTACTGGTGCCATGTAAGTTGCTAATGGTTCCTTTAAAATTTAATATAAAATTAATTTAAAAACTAAATTTATTTTTATGATAAATTGTACGACCGTTAGTTAAAGATTCTTTAAAGAACAACGTTAACTACATAAAACGTCTTAGTTATCAATACTGTAGGTCAAGGCTGAAATGCAATACTACTAGCTTAAATATAAAACCAGGTCCAGCATTAGGGTGGGACGGTTAGTTGACCGTCCAGGGCGCCGGACAGTAATGGGTTCCAAAGGGTTGCGAATTACAGTCTCAAATAACCCTATTAACCCGCCACTTCCCCTTAGGCATGGTATAAAAAGGCGCCGTAGAAATCTCGCCTAATTTGCTAGTAGAGCTAAACCCGTTACCGTAAAATACAGTATTGGTTATGGCTCAAAAATAACAGTTCTTTTAATCTTGTAAGTATAATTAATGGAAATATTTGGATGTATGGATGTTTGTTTGTAGGTATCTCCAGAACGACTGCATGGATCTTGCTGAAATTTGGCATAGATGTAGATCAAAGTCTGGAAGAACACATAGGCAACTAATTAAGGTTTTTTTCTATTCCACGCGGAAGGAGTCGCGGGTGGCTGCTAGTGGTTATGACCGGTTTTGAATATGATATGGTGCTCACTTTAGGTAGTCCGGCCCTGCGCAGTATACTGTTACTGACGTCACTGAAGTATCCATTCAGGTTGGTATCCTCTACGTACAGGGGTACATCGCTATTCGGCTCAGTTGTGCCGTGCATATGTTTGACTCTGTTATAAATAGACGGGGATTTGAAACTAAAAAGAATTCATACACAACAATATTACACGGTATATAAAAATTAGTAGTTAAATGTATTAGTATACAAATAAAAATCTTTTCAAAGTGTCTTTGGGTACTTTTAAATTCACAACCTAACCTAACATTTGTAAGTGTTAGGTTAGGTAGAAATGCAGTACCTACTGTTTCAATTTGGAAATAAATATCTCCCTTTTACACTCTTTATGTAGTAATATTAAATTAATTATTAATAAAATCCACATACCGTTTAAACGATTCGCTGTTGGGATACTGATTATTTGAAACGACGATTTCGTGGTCGTGCTCTTTGAGATCTTGAGTTAAACTTTTCCGACTTTGTATATCTTCTGACCTGAAATTGTTGACATAAATATCTTACTGCAACAGCTCTAAAGTTAGAATAAAGAGGATTTTATTCGTTTGTTTTGATGTTTCTTTTTTCGCTTTTGAAAAACGAACCTAGGACCCAATGTAGGTAAGACGTCCCTATCGAGATATCAGGGCTCAAATCGCACTCAAGGAGTCATTGTGAATTTTAGTGAGTCAAGACTTACATTAATCTTTTTTTTTTTAAATTGTTCGAGATTTCCTTCTGGGGAAACCAGACGACAAGGTGTCTCTTAAAAAAACTTCATACAGTACTAATAAAAGGACACTTTTCTTTATTTCTTTTGTTACCTTCTTTCGATACTGTTCATGCTGTTCCCCACGTCAGTAAGCTGCGGCTTGTTCCTGTGGACCTTCTGACTCATCCTCTGCACCACGTTCTCGATGTCTCGCATCCTGCTTCCAATGGCGTCCACCAGCGCCTGCAGGTTCGGTGACTTGCTTTCCTTCTTCTCTATCTCCTGTTCCTGATTGTTAATCGTTTACTTTACAATTGCTTGATGGCTTTTTAATTTCTAATTGGGAAAGTCTCAAGTGTTTTATTAGTTATCTTCCCTTATATCTTATCTATTTCTACTTGATCGAATAAAATTTTTATTTCTTAATATAACATAAATTAGCTATATTTGCGACAATCGTGATATAAGTGATATACTTTAAAATAAATATCGAAACATTCCTTACTTTAACATTCTCGACGTCCATAGACATCTCATGTTCGTTCCATTGATTGGGCGGGATCTCGGTCCATGTTATTTGGCGTGCCATTGATTTCTAAAGAACAAATACGGGCTTAGTAAGTTGTATAGCTTTAGAAAATCAAATATTTTCACGCTACTCTCTCTATAGGTGGCTTCTTGATGGGTTTGGCGTGTTTATTCATATAATTCAAAAGTTTTAAGACTTTTTCAAAGTGGTTAGCTAAACTTTAATATATTGACGAGGATGTACTGTTGTTTTCTTACCTTTTCAGTGGTGGATTGCAAATCTTCATAATCCATGTCGTTGCGCAATTCCGGAGCCTCGTCCTCTACGTCCTGCCTTGAAAAATGGCTCGTTGGATTTTTTATAAAGCGGTTTCTTCTACGAAGTTCATTTAACATATTATATGTAATTAATATTTTTTATCAATTTCTAACTAATATGACTGGAAAACGGTATACAATAGTAGAATATTCCAACCCCATGTTTGCAAATAGTTACCACTGTCCGGAAGATTTGTATAAAAGCATATTCTTATCTCTGTCTTTTTAGAGAGAATGAAAGGGATAATGTTTGTTTTTACAAATCTTTCGGCAGTGGAAACTCACGTGTTTTCAATCCCTTGAAATATTTTTTATTAAAAGATGTATCAATAGGTAGTAACTTACCTCCCACTTTCGAATTTTTTAATTTCTTTCTCTTCTTTATTCGTCGCCAAAGCAATCTGTAATATATTATTCTAATTCATTTATATTAAATCTGTAAAATTTAAATCCGATAATAAATCTTTCCTGCGACTCTACGCCTCAATTGCTACGCCAATAACCTACGCCGTAGCGCCGAATCGAACATTAATATTAAATTATCTCAATATGGATAATATGTTTTTGTGAGAATTGTTTGCAGTGCAAACTCATGGTTACTCATTTGCTACGATCTCTACCCACCTTTGCTGTTTCTACATTCATAGATACAGTACTCATAATATGATTTGGCACGTTGTAAACAAGAGTATGCTTCTAGATGACGAGCCAACCCAAGCGTCCGGTACGTTTATGGTAGTTTTAGGGTAGTATCGATGTCGTCTTTGTGTCAATTGTCTTGTAACTTTTCAAAATACTCACCACAATGTCAGGTGCGGCGTTAACATTCGATCTGTGTACAGAGTCTTTGCAGTTTGCCGGATCTTCGGTGGTGGCTTTCTTTCCGGACCTCAACACGCTTTGCTCGTCTTTATCCATCGCCAGTTCGTACACGGGACCTTCACCTTGTCTTTTTAAAGAAAAGTATGTGAATATGACTGTACTATATAACTGTTGCACTGATTTTGTTCATTTCAGTTTCAAATAGTATTAGGTTTTTATATTTTTGTAAAAATATTTCATGTGTTAAGCATACTTTGGTAGGAAACTGGAGTCAGGCGGCGGAGGTTTCTTCATTTTGTACATGTGGCTCCACGGCGCCGCGGGCAGCGTCTCCCAGGGCTGGCCCAGCACGCGAGTCCATACCTCGCCGCGGACTACTACTAGGCAACTGGAAATAGTTGACTTTTAATATAACACCCGCGTTCTACGTTCTTAGGAGTTTGTAAAATAGAGATATGCAATCTTTTTTTCTAATATTTGTAGATTCATAATTCATTGTTACCGTAGTCGTGGACAGCAGTATGGGAACTGCATATTGGTGTCTTCCACAACCTCTTCGCACTCAATGGCTGACTCCGGCGGCTCAACACGCTTGCATCTGGAATGTTTATCAATTTAAAAAAAGCAAATGGAATTCTTAATTAGAATATAAATATAGAAACAAAAGAGTTTAGATAGAATTAATTCTTGACAATATGATTAAACAATTGTTTTTTTTTTTTAAGTACAGTTCTAGGTATTATTTTTTAGTAACTTACCCCACAGTGTATATAGCTAGATTCCTCCCGCCAGGCTGGCAGCGATGTCTCGTACAAGAGTAAGCGTCGGCCCACTCCGTGTACGCGGTGTGTCTCTTCATAGTACGCGGGTCAGTACAATCTATGGTCATTTTATACAACCAACAAAAACTTATTTTTTTAACATTTTAGAGGCCTATGTGAAATTTTGGATGCAAATTCATCCAATTCATCAAACCTTTCTCTCAAAAATTTGACGGTACCCAGAAAAATTAAATATAGTTAATTAGTTGCAATTGTTTTGATTTTTTTTCATGGAATACTCCGTGTATTATTTTGAAATGATTAAGTTTTCTTAGCTTCAACTAAACCTTAATAAGAAAAATGAACCTACATTCTTCTTATTAAGTTTTAATTGGCTGTAAAATTTTTGGTGACTAAAGAAAAGGAAACTCTTAATGTGTAATTCTTGAATGACTTACATTGATTTTTAAAACCTTCAGTGGCTGGACCGGCATTCACACTAACCATAAAACATATAAATAAATTGAGAACTAACATTCTGATATGTCTAGAATAAAAATAAATTTACTTAACTCGACATACTAAACTCTATTCTCTTATTCACAAATTGCAAATGAGCCACGGATAACTAGGAATCATAGGCACTGAAGTCAAAGTACAGTAAACCTGTCCATAAGAAAAAAATGAAAGTTTCACGCGTGAATAACAAAAAATAAGAAATAAATTTGATAAGCATGGATAAAAGTATGGCAATGCAGTATGGCAGTTTTTTGTACGTGTTGTGAAAGTACAGTCACGTGTATGGTGTATGTTACGAATATACACCATACTAGAGGCTTGGTAGACAAACACGAAAAGAAAACACGAGGCGTCACGATTTGATACAACGCAGTGTTATGTATGTGTGTGTCTTAGATCGTATAGTATCGCATCGTATCGCCTTTCATCTTTAAATGATTTGAAATGCGATAGATAGATGGAAAGTGCATCTTCTTATAGTAAAATTTGTGACGTAGATAGAAGCCCAAATATATATTTCTTACGCTTTGTATCACGACTGTACTTCATATCAAGTAAAGCATTAAAATCTCTTTGTTTACTAAACAATGAAGTTCACGTATCCGGCGTTTTTCCATTGCACTCTTTCACTAATAAAACCCACTGGATTTTCTAACACAGCAAGGATTCTTATATTTTTTCTGAAATACCTGTATATATTTTATGATAAGTTGGACAACAAAGTAAGTATTAAATATTATTATTAATGCCACCAATAAATTGAACACAAAAACTAAATCACAGATTTAAGTTAGTGTTAGTGTCTACTCCAGATGTAAAAGGGCCAAAAATATATTCAGCGAACAATTTACAATTTTTCTTTCTTTCTGTAGTCAAACTAAAACAAAACAATTAATTTCATTTTCACTCTTTTAACGGAACAAATGTTTTACAAAACCTTTGCCAAAATAACCAAAGAGTACATAAAATAAGAGACGGGACTCTTGACTAATTAGATACACAAACGGAGAATAAAAATTGACATTTTCAATGCTAGCAATATTATGAACAAGTCAACGTTGCTACCAACCTAAAAAAATCAATCTGTCAGTTCCCTTTTTGACTTTTGAAAGTATAATTCGAGGGAAAACAATTTTGGAAAAATAAAACAATTTCGTTAATTGCAACTTTAATTTAATCTTCTCACTAAAGCGAACATATTTTAAGAACGCAACATAATGCTCATTGCTTTCGTAATTGTTTAGTTCACCAACAAAATACCCCAACTTTGATAAATGCTTATTTGTTCCAGTTTGTTTATTTGATAGCTCATATTTTCTGATAGAACTGGAGTAGTAGTGCCACTCTCGTCGGGAGAAATAGAATAACACTGGAAAGAGATTAGCTCCTATCTGTTGGTAAAATATTTAGAAAATTGCTAACAAGACAATATGCATTGAGGCAAAACAAATCGTCATCATCAAGCTCATTATACGGACACACTATATTCCACTGAGGAGCTCGGAGCCTACCCTCAAGAATGCGACTAGGTTTTATTCAACAACTCAGAGCCAGTGAGGGTTGGTTGACTTCACACATATCTTTGAATTTCTATGCAGTTGTATGCAATTTGTAATTACAGTAAGAATGTTGGATGGATGTTATCATGAAATTCGAAGAACGCATTACTATATAGCGGAGATCGTACCTGGATATGTAAAATATGATCCGGTCAAACGCCAACTGCACTGCGACGCTCAAAATAGTCCCCTAATCCAAACTTTTTCTATCAAAACATTGCAAATGTACAAGTCATGTTAAATATTATGTAATGTAAAAATAGAATACAATATTTAAGTTTTACTTTCAGATAAATTCATAAAATTATCATGAACCTAAAGATTCCGCATATCAACTCTTTTGTTATTACTATTCTCCATAGATGTGTAACCTATAGATTCCTTAACAAGTAAAAATAATGAGGCATCATTTTGGGGTAAAGTACCTGTGTTAAAATTTAAATAACTTGTAAGAAAATTGTATAAATACTCTGTTCATTTTTTATTTCTTATTTAAAAAAAGTTTAAGATATATAAGTTGTGATATTAGTTAAATCCAAATTTAATAAATTAATTTTGTTTCATATTTTTCACTAAATGGTATTTTTTTATCTTTTGTACTTGATACTTAATTCCCTATATTTTAGTATATTTTTATTTTCTATACACTGCATTTCCCAATTTCGAGAAAATCTTATTATGCTAGTGTATATTTTATATTAAAGACTAATACATATTTCTAAAAATTGTCATATTAACATCAAACTAATATAAAACACTAAATCTATAGGTTACACATCTATATATCAATATTGACATTAATATAGTTACTAGCATTTCCTGCAACATGGTGATCATTTAGATTTGCGGTTAAACTACTCCATATAATAAGTTATTTTTCAAAATTTAGTTTAGAATTACAATATTTCAAACAAACAAACTTTGTACAGTTGTTGCAGCGACATGCAGTCAGTAATTCTGAAGCAGATTCCTTCATTTAATAATTCTGTAGACCTTAAAGAGGTGCATTCATTCGTCTGCAACAGAATGACAATGGTAATTAATTGATTTAAATGTACAACATAATCAATTTAATTATTGGTTTTCACCTAATTACATAACTTATTAAAAAAAACTGGTTTTCTGTGATTATATGGATCTCACCCCATTTACTTACAAGACTTCTTTGCATTTATCTACAATGATGGAACTCACAAACCATGTAAAAAATTTATGATTAGTTTTTAAAGGTACAGATAGGAACTTTTATTGCCTGCCCATTTTTCTGAAATGTCTATGACAGAATCATAAATCAAATTAGTTTGAAAAACTTGTCATGACATGACCAATTTACAGGTTGATCTACAATATTTGAAACAATAATAGAGAGATATTCTACACACAACCTAAATAATGTTTAAGTTAAGTTTTATTATTGAATCTTTTTCATGTTTCGTGCAAACCATTTTATATTAAATATCAAGCCAATTTAAAAGGTTAAAATTGTTCAAGTAATTGCTGGAAATATGTACTTTGGGAATTAATTAATATTTACCACTTACCTTGAAGTATTTGACATGTCTTGTACTTACTTTTATGTTATTTTCATCAATTTTGATTGTAAATTTATTTTTCAGCCATCAGCAAAAGATCATAAGTTCTAGTTCAACATTTACTTATTTTAAATATGAATAGAATGTAAAATTTTATCTTTATTCAAATTCTATTTCTGTGAATCCATAGATTATGTTTTCAACTACTTTTTACTTGTTTCACACCTAAAAACAGAAAGTATTAAAAATTGATAAGTTGTTCATACAATGTTCTTCCTTTGTAATAATTAAAACTGTAAAGCTTATTCTTATTATTTAATAAGTTACAGAAACTTCAGAGGTTGGATGTAACTGCTGGTAACTTAGTTTATTTAGAAAAATAAACAATTACTGATATCTTTATTTTATAAGATCACATATTGTTGATGTAATTCATAATTTTATTATAAATAAACCTAAAGATGTGTACTTTTTAATAATAAATTTCGGTCAATTTGTCATTGGAAAGTGAGTCACACACCCATTTTAAAGTCCGACCCAAATACAACAATAAACAAAGTCTTTTAACATTTGAATAATAATTTTATTTGGTACAACTTTACAATAGCGAATTAAACCAAGTTTTCGTAAAATCAGTTTTAAACTTTAGGAAATGATCATCATGAGTATTATTGCTATGAAGATTGCTGTAGATGAATATATTGCTATGAAGATTATTTTCCGGGGACTTAATTTATTTCAGTGAGATAATAAAATTGTTTCATATGTTTTCAGTTTTGTAACAGGTATGCTGACACTCACAATTTTTATAAAATCACATGTTATAATAGAAAATATTTTCGCTTTTTCGATGTTTTTTATGGTATTAAAAATGTTCCAAACCTAACCTTTCTAGTTTGCTTTTGGTGTTTAATTACATGTTATAAACCTAGCTTTACTTATTCTGCGCTTTTCTATTGTTCCTAACTTAACTTAAGTTACGACTCCAAAAAAAACTTCCAAAACAGTGTAAGAATATTCCCTATCGTTTAAGACATATATAATGGAAATTTGGCTTGATTCGGTTTTGTGAAGCATTACCTTTTATTTTATTTAGAACTTCTATACAATTTCTTCTTCTTCTTCTTTTAGTTGCTAGTGGACCCTATACAATTTCATAGCGAACTTTTATTTCATTGACTTCTACTAAGTAATTACGAACATAAAAACTTTTAGCAACATTTTAACGTAAATATGGAATAAGATTTTTTTACGTACATAAAATATAAAGTGTAGTCATTGATGCTTTATTTGATATGTAGTGCCCTTCTGTTATAAAATATATATATATATGTAGTGAGATAGAATAATAGTCAAAACAACAAAAAATACAAAATATAGTACTATTGTACAGTCAGCGTCATATAGATCGTCACAGACAAGATATGCAAATATATAGGTACATCAAAAGTAATCAATTATATCGGTACAACAAAAGTCCTCAAAATAATAGATACATTCACCCTGCTCAAATACATCGGTACATACACAGCGTCAAATATATGAGTACATGCAAGATGCTCATAAATATCGTAGCAGCCACAGCGTCATAAGTAACGAAGCAGTCAAGGTGCGCAAAAATATCGGTACATTTGACAAAATTGAACTCTATCTCTATAGACTTGTGATACAATTTGGAATAAACTACTTCTGTTACATTCATTTGACACTTAGCATCAAACCATTTTTCAAAATTTACTAATTATATAGATACTAGATATTAGATAGATAAAACCAACATCAAATTTAAGTTTGTCATCATATATGCTAGTTTGGTCTCGTGGCCTTACCGTTTGCCGCCGTTGGTACGTAAGGTCGGCGGTTCAAATCCCAAGTCACTATTTTTTTTTTGATATTTAAACTTTTTACTTTTAATATCGAAGCACATGTAATTAAACTCTATCGCCGTAGTTATTAGGTACTTTTTGATATTGCCTTGGACTAATGAGTTTGACCGTCCGAGGGTCCGAGGGTCCGAGGGTCCGAGGGTATAAGGGTCCGAGGGTCCGAGGGTCTAAGGGTCCGAGGGTCTAAGG